AGCTGGAAAAAGGGTTGAAGCAATGCGGGAAGAAGGGCTGCAAAGCGTTGGGCTCATGCCCATTTAGGGTTTGGGGTTTAGGGTTTAGGGTTTAGGGGGTTTCGGAGTTTGGGGAGGTCTAAGGTTTCCCAAGACTCTGGAAAAGGCGTCCTATACGGGTCCGCGCGCATCGGGGCATCCAAAGCCTCTAAACCCTAGACCCTAAAACCCTAAACCCTAAACCCTAAACCCTAAACCCTAAACCCAAACCCCTAAACCCAAAACCCTAAACCCTAAACCCTAAACCCTAAACCCTAAACCCTAAACCCTAAACCCTAAACCCTAAACCCTAAACCCTAAACCCTAAACCCTAAACCCTAAACCCTAAACCCTAAAACCCTAAACCCTAAACCCTAAACCCTAAACCTCGTCAAGCTTGAAGTTCTCCTTGAGCCACAAGCACGTAGGCCGCCAAAGCGTGCATGCACAGAAGTACGCCCGCCATCCTCTGACAAACTCCAGCTCAAAGTCCCCTTTATTCAATCGCCAACCCTTCTAAGACTCAAACCCTAAGCCTTACAAGCCAGAAGCCCTAAACCCAAGCCCAAAACCACCCCAAAACCCTAAGCCCTTGAACCCTTCAACCCTAATAACTAATAACCCTAAACCCTAAACCCTAAACCCTAAACCCTAAACCCTAAACCCTCAATCCTAAACCCTAAGCCCTAAACCCTAAACCCTAAATCCTAAATCCTAAACCCTAAACCCTAAACTCTAAACCCTAAACCCTAAACCCTAAACCCTATGTAGCGACATCGAAGGAGTTCGTCCAGCAAGTCTCCAACGGCTCACGGATCTGCCGCGCATGCGGGTCCCTGACGCCCTTCGCTTAGGGTTTAGGGTTTAGGGTTTAGGGTTTAGGGTTTAGGGTTTAGGGTTTAGGGTTTAGGGTTTCAGGGTTTCAGGGTGTGGGGCTTGGGGCTTTGCGCAAGTTCAAAACCCTCTCGGGAGCAAGCTTGTCAGGCTCTGGGTTGATTTTAGCCACTTAGCAGGGGCACTTGAATTTCGACTGTCACCCGATGATGTTGAAATTAGTTCCAGTTCCTTAGCAAGAACCAGGCGCCACCCTCAGAAGTAGGAGTTGGCTTGCTCTGCAGCCCCATGCAAGAACCAGGTGTTTGGCCCGGGCTTTGCCTCCGTAATCCGCGTCCTGCTGGTAGCGTCCTAGAAGCTCTAAACCCTAAACCCTAAACCGTGAACCCTGAACCCTAAACCCTAAACCCTAAGCCCTAAACCCTAAGCCCTAAACCCCGCCTAAGCCCGAAATCCTCCCACCGTGGCGCCCAGGTCATGCACCCAGGGCCAGTATCGGAGCAACTGCGGCTGCCGAGACTGCTTCTTGCCCACACCCCCGAAAGCCCTGACCCTTAAACCCTTAAACCCTAAACCCGAAACCCTAAACCCTAGACCCTAAACCCTAAACCCTCGGATGATATGGGACGTTGCCAGAGCATGGTGTGTTTCCAATTTGACCAGGCTTGGAGGGGACCTATTCCAACCACTCCAGCGCCAGCATCTGCGAGGAGGGCTGTGCTAAGTTTTTTGGGGGGTCGATGGAACCTTATAAACCCTAAACCCCAAACCCCAAACCCTAAACCCTAAACCCCAAACCCCAAACCCGAAAGCCCTAAACCCTAAACCCCAAACCCCAAACCCCAAACCCTAAACCCTAAACCCTAAACCCGAAACCCTAAACCCTAAACCCTAAAATCCCTAAACCCTAAAATCCGTGACGGCGTCAAACCAAACGGGGGTTTCCAACCAAACGGGGGTTTCCAACATTAGGGGTTCCTTCTTGGGGTCCTTATGATAAGGGAATCCTACTACTTGGGAGTCTATACTAGGGGCTTAGTTGTAGAGTAGGCAACCTTTCACCTTTTTGGGGGTAATATAATCCCCTTAAAATCCCGAAGGTTAACCTTTAGTTCCCCTAGGTACTGGACAACTAAGGGGGTCCCTGGGTTTCGTAAACTCCCGCATGAGCAGCGTCGAAGCCCGCGGCCAGGAGTGCCCCGAGGGCCACTTCTCCGCGGCGGGCGCCAGCGAGTGCGCCGCGTGCCCGCCGGGGCAGCTGGGCCCGCAATGGATTTAGGGTTTAGGGTTTAGGGTTCAGGGTTCAAGGTTCAAGGTGAGGGTTTAGGGTTTATGGTTTATTTAGGGTTTAGGGTTTAGGGTTTAGGGTCTAGGGTTTAGGGTTTAGGGTTTAGGGTTTAGGATTTAGGGATTAGGGTTTAGGGTTTTGGGTTTTGGGGTTTAGGGGAGCACGCGAGGTTTTTGGGTTTAGCTACAGTGGGGGGGGGGGGGGGGTAGGGTGGCCTTTGCATCAAGGGCTCCGTCTTCCACAGCCTCAAATGTTGGGGCTGTCCGTAACCCGTAGCCCGACCAGCGAGGAAGACGAGCCACGCCGGCACCGGCTATTGCGTGTCCTGGCTGATTCGGCGAATGCTTGTGCAGATATGGGATGTGTAGTTCGTGAGCCCTAAACTCTAGAAGGGTATAGGGTTTAGGGTTAAGGGTTTAGGGTTTAGGGTACTTGTGCAACCCTCAGGCCAACTGCACAGTCGGCACCTTCGCAGACATTCCTGGCTCCATGTGTCGCCCATGCTGCTGGACTACCGATGGAGCGCTTTTGAGCACCGAAGTCGCTAAACCCTAAACCCTAAACCCTAAACCCTAAACCCTAAACCCTAAACCCTAAACCCTAAACCCTAAACCCTAAACCCTAAACCCTAAACCCTAAACCCGAGTTGAGAGGCCCGAGCTTCGATTGAAGGATCCTCAAACAGCCTGGAGGCTGCTCAAGAAGAGGCACAGGTTGCAGGATGACTGTGGGAAGTGATGCTTGTCTAGGCCATATAAGCCCACCCAGCCCCCCTGAACCCCGAAACCCTAAACACGCCCTGAACTCTTACTGGATCCCGTCCGCGGCTCTCAAACTCGAAAACCATGCTCATAAGCCCCAAGCCCCTAAACCCTGAGACCCAAACCCCAAACCCAAACCCCAAACCCTAAACCCCAAACACTGAACACCAAACCCCAAACCCGAAACCCTAAACCCTAAACCCCAAACACCGAACACCAAACCCTAAACCCGAAACCCTAAACCCCAAACACTGAACCCTAAACCCTAAACCCTAAACCCTAAACCCTAAACCCTAAACCCTAAACCCTAAACCCTAAACCCTAAACCCTAAACCCTAAACCCTAAACCCTAGACCCTAAACCCTAAACCCTAAACCCTAAACCCTAAACACCGCAACGCGAAACCCGGACTCCCAGGCCCTGGCGGAAGCCACGCGCCGATGGAAGGCCTTACGGCCTGTGCCCTGGGCTCCGGCTTTTAGGATTCAGGGTTTGGGGTTTAGGATTTAGGGTTTGGGGTTTAGGATTTAGGGTTTGGGGTTTAGGATTTAGGGTTTGGGGTTTAGGATTTAGGGTTTGGGGTTTAGGATTTAGGGTTTGGGGTTTAGGATTTAGGGTTTGGGGTTTAGGATTTAGGGTTTGGGGTTTAGGATTTAGGGTTTGGGGTTTAGGATTTAGGGTTTGGGGTTTAGGATTTAGGGTTTGGGGTTTAGGATTTGGGGTTTGGGGTTTAGGATTTAGGGTTTGGGGTTTAGGGTTCAGGGCTTCAGTTTGGGTTGGGGGTTTAGGGCTTGTGAGGGGTTCATTGCATGGGGAGTTTCCAAGGATTCTAAGCCTTGCAATCCTCATCCTTAAACCCTAAACCCAAAACCCTAATCCCGAAACCCTACACCCTAAACCCCAAACCCTAAACCCTAAACCCTAAACCCTAAACCCCAAACCCCAAACCCTAAACCCTCGAGTGTCTTGGCATATCCAAGGCATTGTCTGCGAGGCCGGATCGAAAAGCAGCTGGGACGGCGCCAGCTGCGAGCTTTGCCCACCAATGACCTATCAGTATCTTCGGCTCAGATGTGTTGGGTTTAGGTTTGGTTTAGGGTTTAGGGTTTAGGGTTTAGGGTTTAGGGTTTAGGGTTTAGGGTTTAGGGTTTAGGGTTTAGGGTTTAGGGTTTAGGGTTTAGGGTTTAGGGTTTACGTGGGATTCTACTCTATCTTGGGCATGAAAAAGGGTACCCCTATTTTGGGAAATGCCCATCTGTGCAGCCTGGGCACTGCGGAGTACTGTCATCCCCTCCCCCTAACACCCCTGTCAGAAAAGAGCCAGGGTGCGTTACAGTGGCTAGAAGCAACATACTCGAATAGGGACCCTCCATAACGGCCCATAATGCAAATAGAGCCTACGCATCTTAAACCCTATAAGCCCTAAGCCCTAAGCCCTAAGCCCTAAGCCCTAAACCCTAAACCCTAAACCCTAAACCCTAAACCCTAAACCCTAAACCCTAAACCCTAAACCCTAAACCCTAAACCCTAAACCCTAAACCCTAAACCCTAAACCCTACCCTTCTGCCGTGGACTCTTCGAGGCACCTCCGCAACTCCAGCGCGTGCCTGCCCGCCCAGGAGACTGGAATCAATGGAGCCAATCAGAGCGAGCAAGATCAGCACAACACTCCTGGGGCGGCATTTGGGGCTTTCCGACAATAGGGGTACCCTTTTGGGGGTTCCTAGAGTAAGGAGTATTAAACGTACCCCCAAGGATTATACTGTTTTGGGGTGTATTAAGGGTACGCCCCCTATTTCTCGAAATGCCCATTTTGGTTGCGTTTTTGGCATCCTGCAGGTACGACTCGCAGAACACAAGCGCCGGAAGTCGGAATGCCCCAAACCCTAAGCCCTAACGCCCTGTAAACCCTAAACCCTAATAAACCCTAAACCCAAAACCCTAAACCCTAAACCCAAAACCCAAAACCCTAAACCCTAAACCCTAAAACCTAAACCCTAAACCCTTAACCCTAAACCCTAAACACACCCCCGACTCCCGACCTTCTCAGCGTGCAAAGCGCGACATGGCAGGAGGGGGCGGAGGTCAGTGGCGTTGGCATGGCGATTGCTCTGAACCTCGACGGGTTCTGGATCCGGAAGGTGGGAATTTAAGGGCTGTAGGGCATCCCTAAACCGCGCCTAGACCAGCCTCAACCCCCCCAAAAATAAAATTTCTTCAACCCCCCCCCACCCCCCCACCTTGAACCGAATGACTTTGCATGCAACCCCCCCACTTCCGGCCCCCGAATTCCCCGTGTGCAGACACGCAAGGTGGACAGCCACGTGAGCTGGGAGCCCTGCTTGGTGTCTCAGCCGACCACAAGGGGGCAGGGGGGGGAGGGCACCAAGTCCTTGTGTATTGCAGGCAGCAAGCATCGTAAAAATACACCATGCGAAAAAACCTTGGGCTTTCCCCCTGCTAGAAGCCTTTGAGAACTGGTGGTCTTTCTCCCCCCCCCCCCCCCCCCCCCCCCCCTAGAACCCTTCGAAAACTGGTGGCCTGCAAGTCGCCTGTTCTAGATCCTAGACCCTAAACCCTCAACCCTAAACCCTAAGCCCTAAACCCTAAACCCTAAACCCTAAACCCTAAACCCTAAACCCTAAACCCTAAACCCTAAACCCTAAACCCTAAACCCTAAACCCTAAACCCTAACCCCAAACCCTAAGCCCTAAACCCTAAACCCTAAACCCAGGTTCCCGAAGCCTGCTTGGCCAATGCGGCGTGCGCCGCGGGCTCCGCGGGAGTCCAGTGCCTGGGGCGCGCGTGTAATACAGGGGCCGGAAGAATTACTAATAGTACTCCCTTATGGTTTAGGGTTTTAGGATTTAGGGTTTAGGGTTTAGGGTTTAGGGTTAGGGTTATATGATATATGGTCTCTTTGAATTATACTACAAGAACCCCAAAAAACCCTATTCTGATTATCAGGCCCCCTTCTTTACAGTCCCGCTCCCTGTGCTTTGCGTTTTGCTTGTTTCGCTTGTTTTTCTCTCATCGCGCTGTTTTTGCTCGTTGTTTTGGGTATTTCCGCAAATGTTTAAGCTCGGCATGTGGCGTGGTGACGTAAAGATGCCAACCGTGACACCTGATGTCTGTACTCACAAGTCTGATCCCTAAACCCAAAGCCCGAAACCCCCCAAGGCCTTCTAGGCTCCTTTGGGGGACTTCCCAGCCTTCTTTAGGGGAGCTTCCTGGGGCTTGCATTAGCATCGCCACATTTCTGTTGCCGTTTGGGACCTCCTTGAAACTCCGGGGCATTTAGAGATTTTGGGGTTTAGGGTTTAGGGTTTAGGGGGCTTCCCGGCCCTCCGGGGCTTTGGGTCCCCAAATCGTGTTGACCTCCTAAACCCTAAGCCCTGAACCCTAAACACTTAACCCTAAGCTTGTTATTTTTGTTTGCTATTTGGGGGATGGTGTGGGGCAATCCCCGGATCCTTCCGCAACGAAACGCTTCGAGTGTTGACCGAGTTGTCAGGTGGCACTCAGGCTCGGTGGGGTAGGGTTTACGCCGTCCTCGGCACCAAAGTCTCCACCCTAAACCCTAAACCCTAAACCCTAAACCCTAAACCCTAAACCCTAAACCCTAAACCCTAAACCCTAAACCCTAAACCCTAAACCCTAAACCCTAAACCCTAAACCCTAAACCCTAACCCGAAACCCTAAACCCTAAACCCTAAACCCTAAACCCTAAACCCTAAACCCTAAACCCTAAACCCTAAACCCTAAACCCTAAACCCTAAACCCTAAACCCTAAACCCTAAACCCTAAACCCTAAACCCTAAACCGCACACATTGGAACCCTACGGGTCCAAAGGACAGAACCCTTCGGGTCTGGGTTTGGGGTTTAGGGTTTAGGGGTTTAGGGTTTCGGGTTTCGGGTTTAGAAATGTTATGCTGTCAAGTACAGGGGGTTTAAGTAAATTGAACATTCTTTAGGGTTTGAGGGTTTAGGGTTTGGGGAGGGGGTTTAGGGTCTTTTTGGGGGTTTAGGGTTTGAGGGTGGGTTTGAAGGTGTTTAGGGCTTCAGGGTTGAATCGATGTCTATTGGCACCAAAAACCACACTCCCTCAACACCCTACACAGCGCCCAAAACCCTTGAGGCAAAATTTACAGAAATTGTATGTGACCTCATGTTGAATTTTCAAATTGGTTTGTCAACCACACAAAGCCCGTCCCCAAAATCAGCGCTCCCCAAAACCGGGCTTCGATTCAAACTTATCCAAAACGTCCTGGAGGCAACCCTAAACCCTAAACCCTAAACCCTAAACCCTAAACCCTAAACCCTAAACCCTAAACCCTAAACCCTAAACCCTAAACCGCCTGGTGTCTCCCAGGTGTCGCAGCTGCCTCCCTGGATACGTGCGCAGCCGCCTGCCGCTGCAGAGCTCCTGTGAGCTCTGCACCCACCAGTCGACGCTCTGACCTTTAACTTCGGCGCTCTGTGGGGGTTAGGGTTTAGGGTTTAGGGTTTAGGGTTGAGGGTTGAGGGTTGAGGGTTGAGGGTTGAGGGTTGAGGGTTGAGGGTTGAGGGTTGAGGGTTGAGGGGTTGAGGGTTTAGGGGTTGAGGCTTTAGGGTTTACTGCGCTTAGGTTATGCGTTTGGGGGGCGGGCTGCTGAAAATCACGGCTGTGCTCCCGAAACCCTGAGCCCTACACGTACCCCGGCAACTTTAGAGGTAATGCTGTGTCGCTCACTTTGTGGTACTTTACCGTAACTTTAGATCCTTACCCTTTTTGGGTTCATTGGGTTTCTTAATAAGGCAGCTAAAAGTTTAATTTATAGCTACCCTCCTGAGTGCAGCCAAGCTCAGGATGATTGTGAATATCGCCATTTTCCTCTTCTTGGTCGTGGCCCGCTCGCAGCCCGAGTCCGACACCCGATTTTTTTTTGGCTTGGACACTCCTTGCCGGCCTAACCTCGAGGACCAAATGAACCCCAAAATTGGGGTCATACCCTATACTACTATAATCCGTATACTACTATACTACTATAATCCCTATACTACTAGAATCCCTATACTCTATAATCCCTATACTACTAGAATCCCTATACTACTTGATTCCCCAAACTACTATAGTCCCTATACTACTATAACCCCTATACTATTATAAATCCCTACACTACCATAACCCCTATTAAGGCATATGGGCCATAAACCCTTTTAGGGTTCATTTCGTCCCCACGGAATTTGCCAAGGACCGAAGCGTGGTCTCTTTGTTCTCCGTGCGGTTCTCGCATGCCCTTTATCTCTCTTTGTTTAGATCTTTCTCTTTTGGGTTTTTCTCTTTCTCTTTTTCTTTTTGTCTCTTTCTCTTTCTCTTTCTCCTTCTCCCCTTCTCTTTTTCTTTTTTTATCTCTTTCTCTTTCTCATGCATTTGACACACACGCACACACAGAAAAAAACCCATGCAAACTGCATTGGCCCAGGTGGTTCTGGCCCTGTGGCTCGCCAAGCTCGGGGTGGAGAGGCGGAGCAACCCCAAGGATCTCGCACCTACCCGTGCCGACATAGGTTCGGGTGTGGGGTTTAGGGTTTAGGGTTTAGGGTTTAGGGTTTAGGGTTTAGGGTTTAGGGTTTAGGGTTTAGGGTTTAGGGTTTAGGGTTTAGGGTTTAGGGTTTAGGGTTTAGGGTTTAGGGTTTAGGGTTTAGGGTTTAGGGGCTGAGTTTGCTACTTGTGAGGACCTGCGCCTTGGCTACCTCAAGCTTCTCTTGCTCTACCTCATCGTTGAGGCTGCCGCGAAGATCCGTATGCCCTTGAGGGTCCCAGGGTCCCAGGGTTTAGGGTTTAGGGTTTAGGGTTTGGGGTTTAGGGTTTAGGGTCAACTTAAGGATCCGTCTCTGCCCGCAGCAGAGGTAGGAGCTCCTGTGCCCCTCCTCATTCCCCCCCCCCTTTTCTTCCTGTCGGAGGGCGCTTTGGCAGAGACGGCCATCGAGATCCTCAACGACTTCCGCACAAGTCTTGGCCACCCGCCGGTCTAGGGTTTAGGGTTTAGGGTTTAGGGTTTAGGGTTTAGGGTTTAGGGTTTAGGGTTTAGGGTTTAGGGTTTAGGGTTTAGGGTTTCGGGTTTCGGGTTTCGGGTTTCGGGTTTAGGGGAAAAGGGTTCTTACGGGAGGACGGCTCAAGAGGGGTATGTAATACCTGCCCCCCCCCTACTCCCTAAGGATCCCGAAGCTTCTCTAGGGTTCCCGAGGTGCCCCCTTTAAGAACCCTAAACCCCAAACCCCAAACCCCAAACCCCAAACCCTAAACCCTAAACCCTAAACCCTAAACCCTAAACCCTAAACCCTGAAGCGTGGAAGGTACCAAAACTTCAGAGCCCACCCCGACACCCCCAAGCCCGCATGCTCAGCAACGGGCAAGTCAACAGCGACAAGCCACAGACGCCCCAAACCCTAAACCCCAAACCCCAAACCCCAAACCCCAAACCCCAAACCCCAAACCCCAAACCCCAAACCCTAAACCCTAAACCCTAAACGAGGTGATCTGGGTCCAATCCTGGGCCACGTGCTCGCCGTCTTCACCTGGTCGCCGCACCTCGCGCTTCGCCCTTGTCGTCTGTTGGGTTTAGGGTTTAGGGTTTAGTGTTTAGGGTTTAGGGTTCAGGGTTCAGGGTTTAGGGTCCAGGGTTTAGGGTCCAGGGTTGTGAGATCCGCTTCTCTTTGCTCAGGTGGCCGTGCGCTGTTTGATGGACCAGCTGGCCCAGTCTGCACCTCGGCCGCGCCAGCCGGAGAACCTCCCCCCCTCCCGATAGTTTGGTGAGTAGAGGTGGAGACATAGGTTGGGGAGGGGGGGGGGGGGTGTGCATGGTTAGAAAAAGGAAATGGTCACTGCTAACTTTTTCCCCCCTAGAACAAAGCCACCACTTAGGAATGAGGGTGTAGGGTTTAGGGTTAGGGTTCAGGGTTTAGGGTTTGGGGTTTAGGGTTCAGGGTTCAGGGTTTAGGGTTTAGGGTTTCGGGTTTAGGGTTAGAGTGGCTTTCTGGACATCAAGGCTGGCTACCTCCACGGCGAGGGCGTCGCAGTCAGCAACAGCATTGCAGCTTGGCGCAGGGGTTTAGGGTTTAGGGTTCAGGGTTAGGGTTTAGGGTTAGGGTTTAGGGTTTAGTGGGGTTTAGGCTTTAGGGTTTAGGGTTTGGGGGTTCAGTCGGCTTGCGCAGGCCGGCTCGGCAGCGTCCGAAGCGGTGGCCCTCTTGCCTCTGGACGTGCTCGCCGACTCGCTCTCGAAGCTTGGGTCGAAAACCACCGCGGCCGTGAGGAACTTGCAAGAAGTTCCTAAACCCTAAACCCTAAACCCTGAACCCTGAACCCTAAACCCTAAACCCTAAACCCTAAACCCTAAACCCTAAACCCTAAACCCTAAACCCTAAACCCTAAACCCTAAACCCTAAACCCTAAACCCTAAACCCTAAAACCCTAAACCCTAAACCCGAAACCCAAACCTAAACCCTAAACCCTAAACCCCAAACCCTAAACCCTAAACCCTAAACCCTAAACCCTAAACCCTAAACCCTAAACCCTAAACCCTAAACCCTAAACCCTAAACCCTAAACCCTAACCCTAAACCCTAAACCCGAAACCCTAGACCCTAAACCCTAAACCCGAAGTTCCCCTGACAAAGATATTGTTTTCCTATTGTCAGCGCCATGCAAAAACCCACCGGCTTCTAATTCAGGCTTTAGGGTTTAGGGTTTGATTAGGGTTTAGGCTTTAAGGTTTGGGGTTTAGGGTTTGGGGTTTAGGGTTAGGGTTTGGGGTTTAGGGCTACTGATTCGAACTGCCTGTCTCCCAAGGAAGCTCAACCACACAGCCTGGTTCTCGGAGGACGCCGCACCCGTGCGGGAGTCCTTGCCTCCCGGCCGTAGAAGCCTCTTGCAGCCTCGGCTGCTTGCAATTATTTCTTATTGGAAGCAGCCACCGAGACCCCATAGTAGTTTTAGGGGGCTTAGGGTTTAGGTTTTAGGGTTTAGGGTTTAGGGCTTAGGGTTTAGGGTTTAGGTTTTAGGGTTTAGGGTTTAGGGTTTAGGGTTCGCGACCGGGGAGACAAGCCCTACACCCCGAATGGGGTCATCATATGGTTACTTTATGGTTGCTACAGGGTTGTTATATAGGGTTGTCATAGAGTTCGTATGGATGTTATGGGAATTCCTTAGTGCGTTAAGGAAAGATTACCAGTACTCCACGGAGCTCTATGCCCAGACTTTCTGGATCCTACTTCCGTTGGTGCTCTGGCATCTGGGCTGACACAGTGAGTGAGCCCTACCCTGAACCCCCAACTCCAAACCCTAGCTGCCCTAGCTTCCCAAATCCTATGAACCCCAAGCCCTCAACCCTATAAGCCTCAAACCCCAAAACCTTAAACCCTGTAAACCCAAAACCCCAAAAACCCAAAAACCCAAAAACCCAAAAACCCAAAAACCCAAAAACCCCAAAAACCCAAAAACCCAAAAACCCAAAAACCCAAAAACCCAAAAACCCAAAAACCCAAAAACCCAAAAACCCAAAAACCCAAAAACCCAAAAACCCAAAAACCCAAAAGCCCAAAAACCCAAAAACCCAAAAACCCAAAAACCCAAAAACCCCAAAACCCCAAAACCCCAAAACCCCAAAAACCCAAAAACCCAAAAACCCAAAAACCCAAAAACCCCAAAACCCCAAAACCCCAAAAACCCAAAAACCCAAAAACCCCAAGCCCCTTGGCCCTCTTTGGTTGTTCTCGAGATTTTCGAAGAGCCCATGGCCAGCCAAAGAGCTCGCAGCAGAGCCCTCCCCAAAAGCCTGATGTGGCAAGGTCGTTACCCCAAAAAAACGATGTTGGGTTTGGGGTTTAGGGTTTAGGGTTTAGGGTTTAGGGTTTGGGGTTTAGGGTTTAGGGTTTAGGGTTTGGGGTTCAGGGTTTAGGGTTTAGGGTTTCGGAAGTTTGGGGTTTAGGGGGGTTCGGGGTTCGCGGAGCTGCTTGCGGGATATGAAGGATGGGTGAGACCATGTATGGCGTGCCAGAGCTTGTTGGGAGATGTGTAGGCCTTGGACAAGACCTTCAGCCACTCTTGGCCAACAATAAACCCTAAACCCTAAACCCCAAACCCTAAACCCCAAACTCTAAACCCTAAACCCTAAACCCCAAACCCTAAACCCTAAACCCTACAGGCTCTTCCTCTACGTTTCGAACTTTGTGTACGTCTGGGCATGCTCCCTGACCCGCACAGACGGAGGGGCTGGGGTGGTCTTTGGGATCCTCACAGGACACACGTAGCGCAGGGACCCCAACACCGCACAAAGGAAGAGCCTTTAGGGTTTAGGGTTTAGGGTTTATTAGTTTAGGGTTTAGGGTTTGGGGTACAAGGGCCCCCTAGAAGGGGGAATCTGGGATTCTGGACGACCATGCTTATGGAATGTGGTTTTTGGGCCCCCCCGAAACCCGAAACCCGAAACCCTAAACCCTAAGCCCTAAACCCTAAACCCTAAACCCTAAACCCTAAACCCTATTAACTGGCGCTTCAAGAGACATAGGGCCGCTGCGCTGGCACCTCGGCCTGGGAAATCCCACCTTGGCACTTGGGATCCTGGGGTGGGAGGTTTAGGGTTTAGGGTTTAGGGTTTAGGGTTTAGGGTCTTTGTGGAGTGCCGATGTGCTGCCGAAGGCTTAATCTGGGACAGCTCCTTCAACAGCCGGGCGATCTTCTTCTATCAGGCCAGCGCCCTCTGTTGCAACCCTTTACCTTATGCCCTAAACCCCAAACCCCAAACCCTAAACCCTAAACCCTCGAAACCCTGAACCCTCGAAACCCTGAACCCTAAAGCCTCGAAACCCGAAACCCTGAACCCTAAACCCTCGAAACCCGAAGCGATGGGGCCCTTCCCAGCATCCCAAATGAGCCAGGAGCTGCTCGAGGATGGGACGAAGGAGCATGTTTGCAGCAACCCTAAACCCTAAGCCCTAAGCCCTAAACCCTAAACCCGAAAGGGTTCTGTCCTGTGGACCCCTAGGGTTCCACTTCGCGCAGGAGACGCTGGCCAGCTACGATGCCGAGGACTTTTGACATTCTGGGGGGGGGGGGGGGGAGCTGCGGGGCGGATGACGCCGAATGCCCTAAACTCTAAACCCTAAACCCTAAACCCTAAACCCTAAACCCTAAACCCTAAACCGCCTAAACCCTAAACCCTAAACCCTAAACCCTAATCCTTATTAATCCCTAAACCCGGAGGATTGGCTGGCCTTCATCCAGGCCTACTTCCAGCTGCTTGGCCCATGCACTGAACGCCGAGGTACCCTCCTAGGCCCTAAACCCGAAACCCTAAACTCCTAAACCCTAAGCCCTAAACCCTAAACCCTAAACCCCAAACCCTAAACCCTAAACCCCAAACTCCTAAACCCTGAGCCCTAAACCACAAACCCTAAGCAGGGTTTCGGGAGGGCTGGGGTCAGAGCCCGCGCTCTGACGAACGAAGCCCCAAAGTTTTAGCATCAGGATTGCAAGACTTCGGCTTACCTTTGGGTTTTAGGGTTTAGGGTTCCGGGTTTGGGTGTAGGACCCTAAACCCTAAACCCCAAACCCTAAACCCTAAACCCTAAACCCTAAACCCTAAACCCTAAACCCTAAACCCTAAACCCTAAACCCTAAACCCTAAACCCTAAACCCCCGAAACCCCCGAAACCCCCGAAACCCCTAAACCCTAAACCCTAAGCCCTAAGCCCTAAGCCCCCAGCCCTAAACAGCCCTGGACCTAAACCCAGAGCCCTAAGCCCAAGCAGCCCTAAGCAACCCTGAGCCCTAAGCAGCCCTAAGCCCTACAGAAGCCCTAAGCCCTCAGCCCTAAACCCTGAACCCTAAACCCTAAACCCTAAAGCCTAAACCCTAAACCCTAAACCCTAAAGCCTAAACCCTAAACCCTAAACCCTAAACCCTAAACCCCAAACCCTAAACCCCAAGGGCCCCAATGAACCTTCGAGGAAGTGGGGCGTCTTTGGCCTCTGGTCCTGGGACCTCGCGGCCGCGCGGGCCGAGGGCTTCGGTTCCTGGGCCCGCGTCTTCACGGAGCAGAGCTACCCCTTGACGCTTGGGCGTTTTGAAGAGTTGCTAGGGGGGTTTAGGGTTTACAATGGGGTTTAGGGTTTAGGGTTTAGGGTTTAGGGTTTAGGGTTTAGGGTTTAGGGTTTAGGGTTTAGGGTTTAGGGTTTAGGGTTTAGGGTTTCACGTCGCATGGCCCCCAGAATTGTTAGGGGTTCGGGGTTGGGGGGTTTTAACATTGAAGGGCGTATAGGAGCCCTCCCTAAACCTGAGAGAGCCAAGCCAAGCCCCGAAACCGCTAAGCCCAAAACCCTTAACCCTCAAACCCTAAACGCGGAAAAATCCCTAACCCTAAACCCTAAACCTTAAACCCTAAACCCTAAACCCTAAACCCTAAACCCTAAACCCTAAACCCTAAACCCTAAACCCTAAACCCTAAACCTAAGCCCTGGAAGCCTTTACACCTGGAACCCAAGCTGAGAGGCTGATCTCTTTGATCCTGGTTCTTTACGGCAGCGTTCTTGCCGGGCTCCTGGAGTTTGCGCGCTGCAGCGAGGCGTTGGGGTGGGGGGAAGGGGGGGTCAAGTGGGGGGGGGGGGAGGGTGGGTGTTGGTTTAGGTTGCTTACCCTAAACCCTAAACCCTCTAAACCCTAAGCCCTCTAAACCCTAAGCCCTCTAAACCCTAAACCCTAAACCCTAAACCCTTTGTGAGTTTAGGGTCAGGGTTCAGGGTCAGGGTCCCGGCTCCAGGATTTGGGGCTTAGAGATAAGTTTCCAAAATTTTGGAGCCAGCGCAGCTGGCAGCAATCCCAAGCCTTGATGCCCAGTAGTGCCCTTATTCCCTTTTTGGTAGGTTTTGGTTCCCTTATAAACCCCTTTAAGCAAACAGGGGCACCCTTTTTCATCCTAGGTTAGGGCAACCTAGATGGTCACTTCTCGAAAAGTCGGATCCCTTTTGCGTTACTATTCTGAGGGCACCCAAAAAGGGATCATAATTATCTTTGTGGTACTTTACCGTAACTTTAGATGCTTACCCTTTTTGGGTTCATTGGGTTTCTTAATAAGGCAGCCAAAAGTTTAATTTGTAGCTACCCTCCTGAGTGCAGCCAAGATAGGATCCCTTTTGTGTTTACTATTCTAAGGGCACGCAAAAAGGGATCGTCATCAGAGCTGACCATATGTACAGACCCGGGTCCCCTAAACGCCTAAAATCCGAAGGAAGCCGGAAACCAAGCGTTTAGGGTTTAGGGTTTAGGGTTTAGGGTTTAGGGTTTAGGGTTTAGGGTTTAGGGTTTAGGGTTCAAGATGTGTCGGAGGTGCCACATGAGACCGTGCGCCGGAGCCTCTTTGCCCCGGAGGCTCGGGTTCAGTGCGTGACACCCGAAACAGGAGGCTAAACCCTAAACCGAAACCCTAAACCCTAAAGCCCTAAACCCTAAACCCTAAACCCTAAACCTTATAAACCCTAAACCCTAAACCCTAAACCCTAAACCCTAAACCCTAAACCCTAAACCCTAAACCCTAAACCCTAAACCCTAAACCCTAAACCCTAAACCCTAAACCCTAAACCCTAAACCCTAAACCCTAAAACCCAAAACCCTAAACCCTAAACCCTCAAGACCTGGATAAATGAAAATTGTATGTGGCATCATGAATGTCCCGTGTTATTTGTCTAAACAGCTGACAAGCCGAGCTTAAGATAATGAATTCACAGCGCCTTCGGAAGGCCAAGTATTCAATCCAGTTAAACCTCTGGGTTCCAAGCTATTTGTCTAAACAGCTGACTAACAGAGCTGAAGTAAATTCATCCAAAGTGCAAAGTGGTTGTATCATGCTGAATTTCCTAAGTTATTTGTCTAAGCGGTTGACAAACCGAGTGAAAAGCGTAGCAGTAATCCAAAGCGCGCCAGCCCACCCAGCCCCGGCCCCAAGCCCAAAGCCCCAGCCCCGGGCCCCACCCCCCCGGACCCGGCCCCCCAGCCCAGCCCCCCAGCCCCCCCAGCCCCTGCAAAAGAAAAAACGCGCACAACTCCGGACACGAACCCTATACATAAACCCCAAACCCCAAACCCTAAACCCTAAACCCTGAACCCTGAACCCTGAACCCTGAACCCTAAACCCTAAACCCTAAACCTTGAACCCTGAACCCTGAACCCTAAACCCTAAACCCTGAACCCTGAACCCTGAACCCTAAACCCTAAACCCTAAACCCTAAGCCCTAAACCCTAAACCCTCCGTCTCTGCACCTGAAGTCCGAAGTCCTCATCATGGCAGCCCCTTGAAGTAGCTCTCGACATGATAGGGCCTAGTTTTGGGGTTCTACCTTTACGGTGCGCCCTAAACCCTAAACCCTAAACCCTAAACCCTAAACCCTAAACCCTAAACCCTAAACCCTAAACCCTAAACCCTAAACCCCAAACCCTAAACCCTAAACCCTAAACCCTAAACCCTAAACCCTAAACCCTAAACCCTAAACCCCTACTCCATCCCATCCTGACAGGTGCAATGCCTCGACTTCAGCACGCACCTCGCACGTCTCTGCGCCATTCTGGCGGTGCTGTGGCTCCTCGGCGTGCCCCTGGCTCCTTGGACAGCATTCTTTAGGGTTTAGGGTTTAGGGTTTAGGGTTCAGGGTTCAGGGTTTAGGGTTCACGGTTTAGGGTTCAGGGTTCAGAGGGTTCAAGGTTCATGCGTGCCCCCCGCTTTACTACCGCCCCCCCCCCCCCTAGGTTCCCCCCTAAATAACCTAGTTGGCTAATGATCCCTAAATGACGGGTAGTTTCGAGGGGGGTAGTAGGGGAACTCATGATTTGTAATGGGCCCTTGGTTAGGGTCCCTTGGTATATAACCCTTTTAAAGTCTGGGCCCTTCATTTGGATCCCTTGTTATATAACCCTCTTAGTTTGGGCCCCTTGTTATATAACCCTTATAAACTTATGGCAGCCCTCTTAGATTGGGTCCCTTGTTGTTTTACCCTTATAAATATGGGCAAGGAAACATAGTCAGGGCCCAAGGTTCCGACCGTTGAGTCGTCTGGTCGGGGGTCTGGGTCTGTCTCCAAACAGGGGTGCTCCTTTAGTTCCCCTAGGTGGGACTTCGCTACAACTTTATCACTTTATGAGTTTTAGGGGTTCCTCTAATTTCATATTAAGGGAGCTAACAGTTAAACTTTTCTTGGGGGGTTCAAGAGCAACCAAGCAAAAAAGTATCATCCCAAAGGGATAGGTCATGGCAGCCCAAAGCAGAGTTACCCAAAGCACCGGCCAAAATCATTCCGGACAGCGTTCAAAGTGTAGGATGCCCATTGAGCCTCTGGGCGTGTTTAGGGTTTAGGGTTAGGTTTCCGGGTTTAGGGTTTAGGGTTTAGGGTTTTGGGTTTGGGTTTGGGGTTTAGGGTTTAGGTCACTGAAACTCTGTTGTGATCCGAGCCAACCTGGAAGAGGTGTTGAGGGTGATATAATTCTTGGCAGGAGGACTGGCACCCTGCAACTTTGAGCCCTAATAACCCACAGGTCCCCTAAACCCTAAACCCTAAACCCTAAACCCTAAACCCTAAACCCTAAACCCTAAACCCTAAACCCTAAACCCTAAACCCTAAACCCTAAACCCTAAACCCTAAACCCTAAACCCTAAACCTTAGGCCCGAGAACCACCCCCATCGAGAGCGGAGAAGGTTCTGGGCTGGGTGCTCAACAGGGCCCGCAACCACCTCTCCGAAGACTTCGAGTTTCCCGTGGAGGTCTCCGTTCTCAGCCGCGCGGCGCTCGAGGGTTTGGGGTTCTAGGGTTCTAGGGTTTTAGGGTTTAGGGTTTAGGGTTTAGGATTTAGGGTTTAGGATTTAGGGTTTAGGGTTTAGGGTTTAGGGGTTTGGGGTTGTGGGGGGCTTAGTAGGCCTGAACACTAAGCCCTCTGAGGGGTTTAGGCCTCGGTCGTTGCTGGTTGATGCCGCTCTGCTTATCAGGGAGACTGGAAGCTCAAGCCCGAAACCCTAAACCCCTAAACCCCTAAACCCCTAAACCCTAAACCCCTAAACCCCTAAACCCCTAAACCCCTAAACCCCTAAACCCTAAACCCTAAACCCTAAATCCCTAAACCCTAAACCCTAAACCCCTAAACCCTAAAACCCTAAACCCCCTAAACCCCTAAACCCCTAAACCCCTAAATCCCTAAACCCTAAACCCTAAACCCTAAATCCCTAAACCCTAAACCCTAAACCCCTAAACCCTAAAACCCTAAACCCCTGAAACCCTGAAACCCTGAAACCCTAAACCCTAAACCCCTAAACCCCGAAACGCTGCACATCCAATCTTCAGGCTTTGGCTACCGTCTTGGATGCTGGAGATGGGAGCGCTCCATCGTCAACATTTCGGGGTTTCAGGGTTTTAGGTTTTGAGGGTTGAGGGTTTAGGGCTTAGGGTTTAGGGTTTAGGGTTTTAGGGTTTAGGGTTTAGGGTTTAGGGTTTAGGCGTTCAGGGCTTGAGCTTCCAGTCTCCGTTAAAAAGCCACGCGTCGTTGAGGTTTAGGGTTTGGGGTTTGGGGGGTTCTAGGGTTTAGGGTTTAGGGATGAGTTTTCTTTTCTTTTTTTCGTTGATGTTAGAACCCAAAGGAAGGCATGTTCGCTTTTCGTTATGGAGGTTGCTGTATGTATTGGTTCAAGGGCGCTTGAGGGCTTTCGTGTTTGAGGGTTAGGGTTTAGGGTTTAGGGTTTAGGGTTTAGGGTTTAGGGTTTAGGGTTTAGGGTTTAGGGTTTAGGGTTTAGGGTTTTGGGGTTTGGAGTTTGGGGTTTAGGGTTTAGGGTTCAAGGATGCTGGGTTGTAGGGCCTCCAGGGCTTTCGTCGTTTTTGGCCGTCCTTTTTTATGGCAAGGGATTTTGTCAGGGTTTCAGGGCTAGGTGGCTTTCCAGGTTTAAGCCTGCAGGGCTGCAGGCGTTTAGTATCATGGATTAAGGGCTTAAGGGGTTCAGGCTTCACGGCAACCTCAATCCCAAACCCCAAACCCCAAACCCTAAACCCTAAAACCCGAAAACCCAAACCCTAAACCCCAAGCCCCAAGCCCCAAGCCCCAAACCCCAAACCCCAAACCCCAAACCCCAAACCCCAAACCCCAAACCCCAAACCCCAAACCCCAAACCCCAAACCCTAAACCCTAAACCCTAAACCCTAAACCCTAAACCCCAAACCCTACATCGAGGGTTTAGGGTGCATCTTCCCTCCTTCTGACCTCCTTTCGGAGCTTCTTGGAAGCCTCAGCCCCCCCAAGGAAAGCAACAGCCACCCGATACCGCGGTTGAGACGATTTCGGGTTTGTAGGGCTTTTAGGGTTTTAGGGATTTTAGGGTTTTAGGGGTTTTTAGGGTTTAGGGTTTAGGGTTTAGGGTTTGGGGTTTAGGGTTTAGGGTTTCAGGGTTAGGGGGCTTGGGAGTCAGGACTTCTGGCTTGTGCATCGCGCTGGCTTTGGAAGAGTTGCTCCCAGCGCCTCATGTTTAGATGTCCACCTCACGTCTTTGGGGCCCTCTTCTCCTGCTCCCAGCACCTCGCGAAACCCTAAACCCCAAACCCCAAACCCTAAACCCTAAAACCCTAAACCCTCTAAACCCTCTAAACCCTCTAAACCCTCTAAACCCTCTAAACCCTCTAAACCCTCTAAACCTCTAAACCCTCTAAACCCTCTAAACCCTCTAAACCCTCTAAACCCTTAAGATGCCTGCAGCCTCCTGAGGAGCTACATCTTCTTGCTGAAGGGCTTCGTCATCGGGAGCAGCCTGCTGAGCCCAATGCGCCGCGTCTGCATGGCTGGGCAGGGTTCTGTGACTTTAGGGTTTAGGGTGTAGGGTTTAGGGTGTAGGGTTTAGGGTTTAGGGTTTAGGGTTTAGGGTTTAGGGTTTAGGGTTCAGGGTTTAGGGTTTAGGGTTTAGGGTTTAGGGGTGCATGCAAACGACCACAGAAGATTGGCTGCGCACGGCGTGCTCTCACTCATAGGCTTCAGTGAGGCTTCTGTCTGCTGTTTGTTGGGAAACCCTGCAAGCCCTAAACCCTAAACCCTAAACCCTAACCCCTAAACCCTAAGCCCTAAAGCTCCCCGAACCCCCCCCCTCCCCCCCACAAGAGCCAAGGAACCGAAGCAGCTTCCTCTTCCTCGTGGCGGTGCTCCACGGCCGCGTGGCAAGCACGGCACACGGTTTGGGCTTAGGGTTTAGGGTTTAGGGTTTAGGGTTTAGGGTTTAGGGTTTAGGATTTAGGGTTTAGGGTTTAGGGTATAGGGTTTAGGGTTAGGCTGTAGGCTTTAGGGTTTAGGGTTTAGGGTTTAGGGTTTAGGGTTTAGGTTTTAAATTTCCGGGGCAGTCTCGGGTAGCAACGGATGCAGGGTTAAAACCCCAAAACGCTCAAACCCTAAAGCCCTAAAGCCCTCAAACCCTCAACTCCGAAATCTCGAAAATCCCAACACCCGAAACCCTGAACCCTAAACCCTAAACCCTAAACCCTAAATCCTAAACCCTGAACCCTAAACCCTAAATCCTAAACCCCAGAACCTTAACACCCCCAGAACAGTTTTTGAGCCCAAATAAGGCTTCATAAGCCGGAGCTTCAACCCCTTCACGTCGCGTTCAGACTTCGCCCTGGTCAAGGCAAGGATACTCCCTGGGGGTTGAGGGTTAAAGGGTTGAGGGTTGAGGGTTGAGGATTGAGGGTTGAGGGTTGAGGGGTTGAAGGGTTGAAGGGTTGAAGGGTTTAGGGATCGAAGGCCTTAGGAGTTCAGGGGTTGAGGGATTTAGGGGTTGAGTGGTTCAGGGGTTGAGGGATCCGGGGGTTCACGGGCCTTCGCTGTCATTTGTTGCTGTCCTGCGGGCTCGGGTCCTTCTACGACGCCCCAGGAGGCTCTTGTCCTTTGAGTAGAGGGGCAGATCTCAGAGGTTTAGGGCTTTGGGTTTAGGGTTTAGATTTCGGGTTTCGGGTTTCGGGTTTAGGCTTTAGGGTTTTGGGTTTAGGGGCTTAGGGTTTAGGGTACTATTTTTCCTGATGGTGAAGTTGGGAGTGGGCTACAAAACGCTCCCCAACTCTCACTGGCACGAGCGGCCCCCAAGATTCCATGATCAGCTGTTCCCCGCTTGGAACCCCTAACCCCTAACCCCTAAACCCCAAACCCTAAACCCTAAACCCTAAACCCTAAACCCTAAACCCGAAAAAATCCCTAAACCCGAAAAAATCCCCAAGCAGTGGCAGGCAGACGGGCGCTTTGCGCTCTTCTTCGTTGCGCACAGCATCCTCATCCAGCACCTAGGACGCGGCGCAAGGCCCCGAACTCCAAGCCCCAGACCCCAAACCCTGAACTCTAAACCCTAAACTCTGGACCCTAAACCCGAAACCCTAAACCCGAAACCCTAAACCCTAAACACTAAACCCAAAGCCCACAGACCTGGTCCGAGGTTCCTGGCAGTTTCAACTTCCATCCCGAGAAACTTGCGGATCTTGGGGGTGGCTTGGCTTGGGCTCCGACAAATGGGCCCCTGGGGCGTGGAGATGCCAATATGAGTGAACTGGAAGGGTTAGGGTTTTGGGTTTAGGGTTTAGGTGTAGGGTTGTGTGGGGATGCCAAGACTTTTACTGTCTAGGGGGTTCAGACGTCTCAGGGGCCTTGGGTTTAGGGTTTAGGGGTTTAGGGGTTTAGGGGTTTAGTAGGGGTTTAGTAGGGGTTTAGGGGGGGTTTAGGGGGGGTTTAGGGGGAGGGGGGGGGGTTTAGGGTTTAGGGTTTAGGGTTTAGGGTTTAGGGTTTAGGGTTTAGGGTTTAGGGTTTAGGGTTTAGGGTTTAGGGTTTAGGGCTACAGACCAGGTTGTTCTGATCAGCTGCATGGTTCTGCTGAACGTGCTCCTCCTTGTCTACCTCCTGGTCGCCTGCTTTGCCTGCTGGCAGGAGACGCCCTAAACCCTAAACCCTAAACCCTAAACCCTAAACCCTAAACCCTAAACCCTAAACCCTAAACCCTAAACCCTAAACCCTAAACCCTAGACCCTAAACCGCTTCAACCCCTCAAACATAGGAATCCTTAATAAGACTCGTAGTCAAATTTCAAAGTGAGAATGGTTAGAATGATATTCATAGTAATGATGGGAACAATAGCAACAATGGTAACACTAGAAAGAACAGAAGTCATAGCAAGACAATATTCATCCTTATAATAGTAGTAATGGTCATAATAATAACAATAGGCACATGCAATCATACTAAGAATAGTCAAGTGTAGATAGTAAGAGGTAGAATTTCCCTAACCATGCTTCTGCGCAACCCGACATCAGTTCCTGAAAATTGGCCTCCAGGGGGAGGCCGGGGCCCCTTCACGACCCCCCCATGCAACCCCCCCCCCCCCCCCCCCCCCCCCCCCCCCCCCCCCCCCCCCCCCCCCCCCCACTTGCCCGAGTCCTCCTCTAGCGTGGGTTTGCGGTTTTGGGCTCTCTTGATGTCCGCTGCGCCTGTTTCCGTGTGGACGTGAAGGATACGTTCATCGAGAGCTATGAGTTCTACGACTGGGAGCTCTGGCGGAAGAAGCGCCGATGCTTGACAAGCTGTGTGAGGATGCAGCTCGGCGCCACCTCTGGCAGGAGTTACAACCCAGGAGCCCCAAATCCAAAATCCTCAATCCCAAAATCCCAAAACCCTAAACCCTAAACCCTAAGCCCTAAACCCTAAACCCTAAACCCCAAACCCCAAACCCCAAACCCCAAGCCCTAAGCCCTAAACCCTCAGAAGCCCTAAGCCCTAATCCGAGCAGGCCGGTGACCATGCTGCTCGACCACTACAAGCGCCGGGTGCGGCGCCGTGCCTACGTGAGTCGCTTGGCTTCTACCTTACGAATAGATATGAATATCTTCATATGCATACATACATGGACACATATACATATATGTATAAATACACGGGGGTTCCGAAAATTGGAGTACCCATTAATAGGGTTCCTAGAAGAATCATGATCGCATGTGGTGGTAGCTTAAAGGGTACTCCTCCCCCCCCCCCCCCCTCCCCCCATGTGGGGAAATGCCGAAATTTTGCTAACCGCGCATTCAGCACGTTCAGCCACGGAAAATGTTCCGACGCGAGTGGCTAGTTTCATCACCACTTGCTCAAGATCCTGGGAAGAACGAAAGGGAAGGGATTGGTCTTGACATAAATCCATACAAAGTCAGTTACGACTGTGGGTTCAACCTCAGAAATGCAGTGGGTGACCAGAAGGGCTGGGCACCATGAGAAGGGAGGGGTTTCACGTAAATAGGAGAGCTGTTTGGAGTTGTGATGGGTGGGTTTTAACATGGGAGAAGGCCTCGACGTTATCATGAGAGAAAAGGGATCATGAAAATGAGCAGATGTGTTTGTTGAACATATTTGTGTGGATTTCTGGTACACGAGTTCGACGTTGTGGTTGAAGCTTAGCCAAGGGGGCATCACGAGAATGGGGGGGCATCATGAGGAGTCGTGGGTTTCAAGAGAGAGGGAGAGAGGGAGAGAGGGAGAGAGGGGGAGAGAGGGGGAGAGAGGGGGAGAGAGGGGGAAGAGGGGGGAGGGGGGAGAGGAGGCGGGGAGAGGGGGGGAGAGAGGGGGAGGAGAGGGGAGAGAGGGGGGAGAGGGGGGAGAGGAGGGGGAGAGAGGGGAGAGGGGGGGAGAGGGGGAGAGAGGGGGAGAGAGGGGGAGAGTGAGAGAGGCAGAGAGGGAGAGAGCAGGGAGAGGGGGAGAGGGGCATACCTGGAAAGGAGAAGTTTATTGGCATGATGAGCAGGGTGGGAAATTGAAATAAGCGAGCAAAAGGCTTTGCCATTTCATGCAAAAAGGTTGTGGATCATGACCACGATATGTTGCCTCCTTCCGCATCCAACAGAGGCTTTGACCCCTCCTTCGGGTGGCTCACGGTCTGCGGCAGCCATGGCGACCAGGTCCCGACAAGTGTCTCAGGGGTCGACAAGTCTAGGCACCCTAATCAAAAGCATGGGCCTGCTTCCAGTTTTCTTTCGGGTTGAGGGTTTAGGGTTTAGGGTTTTTCGTTTTACGACGCTCCGAGTGTGAGAGTTTAGGATGTGGATTGTTGGGCTAAAGCTTCAGGTTTGTAGGGTTTGGGGACTAGGGTTCAGGGTTCGGGGTTTCATGAACTACAGCGGATGCATAGGTCCAACATCAGGCTTCGGTCCTCCATGTCAGCCAAGGCGTCCCACAAGGCGACTCGCTCGTTCCAGACCCTGCAGCCGAAACCCTGCATCCCCCTAAGCCCTCAGCCCTAAAATCCCTAGATCCCCCCTAAGCCTTAAGCCCTAAGCCCTAAACCCTAAATCCCCAGCCCCCCCTCGGCCCATAAACTCCCAGACTGAAGAAGACTGAAGAAGGCGAAGACGACCCTAAACCCCAAACCCTAAACCCTAAACCCTGAACCCTGAACCCTGAACCCTAAACCCTAAACCCTAAACCCTAAACCTAAACCCTAAACCCTAAACCCTAAACCCTAACCCCTAAACCCTAAACCCTAAACCCTAAATCCCCAAATCCCTAAACCCTAAACCCTAAACCCCTGACTCCTAAACCCTAAAGAAGGCGAAGGCGACGGTGAACTGGCGCAGCGGCCGCCCTCCCGACCTTTCTGCAGCCCCGGCGGTACCAAATGGCGAGGCCGGGTGTTTCGGTGCGTTTTTTCGGCGTCATCGCCACGTAACATCCAGAATAGGGCTTAGTGTTTAGGGTTAAGGGTAAAGGGTAGCAGGGTTTAGGGTTCCCAAACCCCAAACCCTAAACCTTGCGGACCCTAAACCCTGGGGACCCCAACCCTAAACACTAAACTTTATTTGACGGCCGGCCAAAAAGCCTCCCTAAACCTGAAAATAGGAGTCGCAATCCCTCATTGTCTCTTCATAATCGTACCCCTAAACCCTAAATCCTACACCAAACCCTAAACCCTAAACCCTAAACCCGATTCCTAAATTATGCTGCCGGTGAGGTCGCGCAGTCGACGGCAGGGCAGCGACGGAAGGTTCTTGGTTCTTGGAGACGTCGTTTCAGCAACAAAAGCTTGCTAGGGTTGAGGGTTTGGGGTTTGGGGTTTAGGGCTTGGTTTGGGGTTTCGGGTTTAGGGTTTAGGCCCTTGCGATCTTGTCCCTTGTGGGGTTTAGTGTTAGGGTTTGGGGTGTAAAGGCTAGGGTTCGGTAAGCAGGCGCCTGTTCGAGTGACGTTTCTCGTCACGCTGCAAACGCGTTCTCGCATTTGAAGCATGTCATTCCTACTCATGAAACAGCAAGTGCATGGAGAAAACTCACACCCTGAACCCTAAACCCTAAACCCTAAACCTTAAACCCTAAACCCAAAACCCAAAACCCGAAACCCGAAACCCTAAGCCCTAAGCCCTAAGCCCTAAACCCTAAACCCTAAACCCTAAACCTTAAACCCTAAACCCTAAACCCTAAACCCTAAACCCTAAACCCTAAACCCCCCCAAACCAGCCTGGAGGTCCAGAAGTATCTGCACCAAGCGGCTGAGCGCCTCTCGCTCATCAAGGGCTGTGCGACCTTCAGCGTCCTCGAGCTGGCGGCTCGGAGTTGTTCGAGCCGCTTAGGGTTTAGGGTTTGGGGTTTAGGGTTTAGGGTTTAGGGTTTAGGGTTTGGGGTTGGGGGTTTGGGGTTTGGAGTTTTGGGTTTATTGTTTAAGGTTTTGGGATTGCGGTTTGGGGGTTTCGGGTTTGGGGCTGGTGGGGCTTTGGGCTTCCAGCTGGTGCTATGGCTCGCACGGACTCGAGGGATGCGAGGTGTCACGCTAAGCACCACGGTTTAGGGTTTAGGGTTTTAATTAGGGTTTAGGGTTTAGGGAATCCAAACCCCTGAACAGGTTAAGGGTTTGGGGTTCAGTAGGTTTGGATGGTGCGCGTACCAACTCTCACAGCCTGAAGCGTCATATCGCCAATGAACACCTATAGGACTTATGACACCCCAAACCCGAAATCCTAAACCCTAGACCCGAAGCCCTAAACCCTAAACCCTAAACCCTAAACCCTAAACCCTAAACCCTAAACCCTAAACCCTAAACCCTAAACCCCAAAAGCGACCGCCCCAGGAGTTCATCATCCGGGCCGCGTTTGTCTTCGCGCGGCGCGCCGAGCTCCAGAAGAGCCGACTGGCGCCTGGGCCCGGTGTTGCTGAGACTTTTGGGGCCTTTAGGGCCTCTAGGGTTTAAAGGGTTTAGGGTTTAGGGTTTTTTAGGGTTTAGGGTATAGGGCCTTTAGGGCCTTTAGGGCCTTTAGGGCCTTTAGGGCCTTTAGGGCCTTTAGGGCCTTTAGGGCCTTCAGGGCCTTTAGGGCCTTCAGGGCCTCGGATTTAGGGGTCTAGGGTTATTGGGTTTACTTCGGGGTACTTGGAAATATATATCTATATACATATATATATATATGTATATATGATATATATATATATATACATGGTTTAGATCAACATGTCGGCACTATTATAGTTCCTAAGAAACAGCAAAAGTTCGAAAATTTGCCGGGGTTCCAAGTTCAGTATAGTTTAGGGTTTACGGTTTAGGGTGTAGGATCCAGGGTCTAGGGGTTCAGGTTTTTGGGATTTCGGGGTTTTAGGGGGGCTTTGAGATTTGTATGCTTCAGCTTAGGGTTGAGTTTAGGGTTCAAGGTACTTAGGGTTCAGAGTTTTAGGGTTTCGGGGTTTTGGGGTTTGTTTGCGGCTGCCACCGGGCTGAAACTGGCAGCCTAGCCCAATGTGCACAGATCAAGCCCGAAACCGGAAGCCCGAGACCTTGAACCCGAAGCCCTGAGCCCTAAACCCTAAACCCTAGCCTAAACCCTAAACCCTAAACCCGAAGCCCTGAGCCCTAAACCCCTGCCAGAGCCTACAAAGCACTTCCCCAACGTCGACACCTGCCTTACGGACCACATGCGCGACCGTCAACATTAGCGTTGGTAAGGGACGGACATCAGTTTATGGTTTGGTAACTTTTGATCTGCAGAACGATAGGGGACACGCAGAAAACGATAACCATGGACGCGGCAGAAAACGATAACCCTAACATCCATGTCCTTCTGCTTAGGTCATATTGACCGCTGCTCACATGAACCCTATGGGTTTAGGCGGTTTAGGGCTTAGGAAAGTTTAGGCTTTGGGTCTTTTGGGGTTTAGGGTTCAGGGGGATCATGTACCTTACACAACTACACCTCCTTGTTAGGGTGTGTGGACCCTAAACCCTAAACCCTGCACTCTCAACCCTAACACGTCGTCCCCCGGGAGCAACCCAGATCCTGCCCGTAAGCTCTAAACCCTAAAGCCTAAAGCCTAAAGCCTAAAGCCTAAAGCCTAAAGCCTAAAGCCTAAAGCCTAAAGCCTAAAGCCTAAAGCCTAAAGCCTAAGCCCTAAACCCTAAACCCTAAACCCTAAACCCTAAACCCTAAACCCGAAGCCCCAAAAGCAATCGAGGCCCGCCCTCTCACGCTGATCTCGCAGGAGGAGTCGCCCCTTGCATCTTCTGTCTTTTTAAAGGCACTTCTTTTTCCAGTGTAGGGTTTAGGGTTTAGGGTTTTGGGTTTTGGGTTCAGGGTTTAGGGTTTAGGGTTGAGGGTTGAGGGTTGAGGGTTTAGGGTTTACAGTAACTTCATCCCCATACCCCAAAAGGTATACTAAGCGGAATCCTAGCTTGTATCATCCTTAAACCATGTTCCAACTTTCTGGAATTTATTGTAGGGTTTAGGGTTTAGGGTTGAGGGTTGAGGGTTGAGGGTTGAGGGTTGAGGGTTGAGGGTTACGAGTCTCGGAGCGATTGAGGTTTTTGGGC